AATCGGTACCTGCATATGTGTAAACTGTTCAAAGCTACGGGAGATTCGTGTATTGCTAACGGCTGTAGTTCTTTTACACGAGACGATCGGCCTTCCCACCCTCAGCTTCGGCGAGGAACTGCTTGATGAATGCCTCCTCGTCGCTGTATATCCGAACAAAACACCCATCAAAACGGTCAGTACAATTACCTTCACAAAAAATGTAGTGGTCGAAAAGGTGTTTGGGGGAGAGAGAACTTACGAGCTGGAAGCGTTGATAGGTGGGTCGTTGGCAGCCTTTGCATCGGGCGAAGCACCAGCAGCCGCGGAAGGTTTGGCCTCCTTGGATCCGCCCATCTGAGTAGCGGCGATGGCACCGTACGTTCCGAGTACGGCGAGAGCAATGTGCTCGTTGAGAATCTTACGGCCTGTTTTTTTTTCCAGTGTAGGAGTGTGTGTCATGTGTAACATGTGTGTGAGCTATGTGTCGGTGTGTGGATAGAGGAGATATGTCGATTGCCGGTGGAAATGCGTGTGTGCGTATGCTGTGCGAGTGGGCGAGATCGGAAAACTTACCAGCAATTGTGTACGACATGATGTGATTCGATGTGGGAATGTAAGATGGTGGTGAACAGGCTGGTGTAGGATGATCTCGACGACGAGCGACAAAAGGGTAGCAAGCACAGTTCAACAGCAGTCAGCGCCGTCTCGATCTCGCTTCCGAACCTCACCGCGACAAGGCGAAATTCTTCTTCTCGGCCGCTAATTCTCAATTCATAGCTAGATGTGATCTTCGAACGGTCTGACATTTTTACAGGCGAGGAAAATGTCATTGTGCATGTGCCATTTTGCGTTTTTATGTTTCATGTCTCACAGTTTCGACCTCGTTCGTGTCCAATACCATCATCATCGTCCATCGCCCTACATCGCTAGCTGGCTGGCGAAGCACGACTCTATATTCAAGATGGATCCCTCCTCATCATCAGCGTCTGCTGGACCGTCCAACCTGAAAACACCTCAGATGGATCAATCGGAATTCGCATCCTTCTCCACTCCAACAACCTCTTCGACCCCTTCGCGACAAGCCTTCCCACGACGTCTCAGCTTGCTTCAGAACGACTCCTCTTCTTCTCCCGCCAAACCCGCTTCCAAACCACTCACCGAGACTCCACGCAGAAGCAAACGTTCCAGCATCTCGTACATATCCTCCCCCGCCGTCGCACCTGCCGAAGAATCATCCCTCAGTCGAGCCCCTTCCACTTCGTCAACCTCGAGTCGAACGCGTACAGGCTCCATCAGTCGTGCCACCGCTTCCTCCTCGCGTCGCATCCCCTCCTCCACCACCACAATCAGCGATGCCGGCGCCGACGATTGGCTCATGAACGACGAAGACACTCCCTCCACCTCCATGGCACAAAGAGATTCGGCGAAAGTAGAAGCGCTGTTCAACGACGTACGTCCCTGCTCTCCTATTGCAAGTCTTGAAGAGAGAAACAAATACTGACTTTCCAACTTTTTGTGGGCGAGAAACAGACGGGCTACCGAGAGGGCATCACAGCGGGGAAGCTGAGCACGCTCCAAGCAGGCTTCGATCAGGGGTTCAACGAGGTAGGTGCTCCCGTGGGCGAGCGGCTTGGTCTGTTGAAGGGTCAGGTTGCTGCGCTTTTACTCCTCACCTCTTCCACTGCCAATGTCGCTGCGAAAAGGGGAGTCGGAAGGAAAAACGGTGCGAGTTTGCCCGGTTTGTCAGAGGAGGGGAAGGTGGAAGAGGCGAGGCTCGAGTTGAAGCATTTGGCCGAGACGTTGGATGCGGTGCGGTTGGAGGATTTGGCGGAACCGGATTACGAAGCCAAGGAGCACGAGAGGGAGCATCAGGATGGCGGCGAGGTGAGCAGGGAGACGCCGGAGGAGAAGGTGCGGAGGGAGACCAGACTGGTCGGAATCACAGAGAGGGTGGCGTCGGTGCGCGAGATGCTCGGTCTTGGAGCGGTGTAGCAGTGGAGTTCAGATTTCGAGGCAGTACGTCTCCCTTTTCCCATCCCCCTTCCTGGTCCCCTCCCCATTCTTTCTCGAATCTTAGCTGACACTCACACAATGCTCTTCTCTCCTCTTCCTCGCCCAGTCTACCAACCGTTCCTCCGACGCCTCCTCCTCACAGAACCTTCTCCGCCTCATAGCCGCCCAAGAACGACGCTGCTTCGAATTGCGCGAAGAACTCGCCTCATCCGAATCCACCCTCCAACAACTGCGGTCAGCATGGCAGCGTCTCGCCTCGCACGAACTCACCCCCACCGCCACGCAACACCGTCGCGCGGACTCGACCACCTCGAGCAGCACCACCAGCGACGTTGCCGTGGAAGCGTGGAACTCGATCTCGTCCAAACTACCGGGAAGTCTCAAGCAGCAGTTGGGGATGTTCTTGGAGAGTATATCGACGGAGAAGGAGAAGGAGAGAGGAGTTGGGGCGGTGAAGGTGGATGGGGGGATGTTGAGACCGGGTGGTGTGGGAAGCGGAGGGTTGAGTGTGCTGGAGGAAGAAGGGTCTGATGTGGGGAGCGTCGCTTCTCCTCGCTCGCCGCGCGCAGAGACTAGCCCGAATACCACCATCACCGCCAAACCGAAAAATCCTCAAGACGAGAGCGATCTGCTCGGCTTCCACGTCGACTCCAACGGCATCGCTCACCCCACACCGCCACCACCAACGTCGACCTCCCGGGCGTCTGAGGACGAGGCAGGCGGGTCGACGTTCGCGAGCATTTTCGCCAAACGTCTCAAGGAAGCCCGCACCAACGCATCCGACCTCCTCCGAGAAGCAGAGCGCAAATTGGGCAATGCAATGACCATCGACGACTTTCTCTCCCTCTCCTCTCCCCCTCCACCTCCCTCACAACCGAAGATCACACTGCAACACGCTTCGTCGACAGATACACACCCGGCAAAAGGTGGCAATTCGTGGGTGGAAGCCGCACGTGGTTCGAGATCACCGAGTCTTCATCCAAGGAGGTCCGGGGAAGAAGTGGAAGGGAGGCTGAGCATCTCGTCGACGAGTTCGAGGGGTTCGAAGGGGGATGGCAAGGCGATGAGTCCGGTGATTGGCGGTGTGCCGGGTGCAGTGGGTGTGTGGGGCATGTTGATGGGCGGTGGAGAGGGCGGGGGAAAGAGGCAGAGTGGGGATAGTTGGAGTTGGGGTGCCAAGGAGGATGACGAAGATGGATGGGATCGAAGTTGATCCCTCACACACCGCATCCGATATCACTCTAATGCAAGCGTCACTCTAATTCACAATCCCCAAGAGAATCGACTTGGTGTTTGCCCATTGCCCAGTCTGACCGTGGTTTTAGTTGACCTGATCCGGGGAGCTCTCCTCGACGCCCATCGATCCGGTGGGCAGCAACAACCCGCCCTCCACCTCCTTCCTCTTGTCCTTGCCCACCAGCATCTCGACCAAGGTCAACGCGAACTCGAACGCGGTACCGGGCGCTCTGCTGGTGACCAACTTATCGCTGACAACGACTCTTTCCTCCTTGTACGTGTACTCCTTATCCAGCTCCGCCTTGACGCTGGGATGGCTTGTGACAGCAGCATCTTTTCCGACACCAGCGGCTTTGATAGCCAGCGTACCGGCGCAGATGGCAGCGACGATCTTTCCTTTTCCGTACATGGCGGCGATGAGATCGGTGACGGATTCCTTTTCCGCAATCGCTTTGGCTCCACCGGCACCACCAGGGATGACGATGCAGTCGTAGTCGAACGATTTGCCCCCGGTGAGGTCCGTGAGCGTCAGATCGGGGACGATGCGAACCCCTCGTGAACACGTAACATAGTTGCAGCTGGAGGAGGAAGAATTGACGAGGGCAGAAGTGGTAGAGACAGAGGCACGTACGAGAAGGTCGTACACGATGGTGAACTCGGATTCCTCGGTTCCCTCTGCGATGAGGATGAGTGCGGATGGCATTTTTTGTGGATATTGCCGGAGAGAAGATGTGAATAGATGGTGGTGCTTGGTGAGAATGAGAAAGCAATAGCCGTGAGATGGAGAACGTGGATCGACACGGTTTCAATGGATCTGCGAACCGTAGGAATCTACGTTGCGCAAAACGTCATCCATTCCCCGCAACGCCGGACGTTGGAAAAAGATAAGATAAGTTGGCAGACAGACAAGTCAAGCTTCAATTATGCGTTGTGTTTGCGCTGCAAAGGCGGCTTTGGTTTTCGCTCGGACCACGCGACGTTTCTATCACAAAACCGCGTGTGTGGAGGTGAGGAAACCAACCCGGCCGTAAGAAATTCTCCCGGCTTTGGAAATGCGAGGCTGAGTTAGGCTTTTGCCGCGAAGCCAACACTTCCTTTGATCTTCTCTATCCAGCGTCTTGCCATCGTACCACCACCTTGTCCTTCCACAACGATCCCGATACATCATCTGCATCCTCGAGCGCCTCTCTCTGAGCCTCTTCGATACGGTCACAAACGTTCCAACGATATATCCCCCAACGATGGCTTCGACAAGCACAAACAAGCAACTCTACTACGAGCTCTACCGACGCTCATCGTGAGTTGTTTTTCCCCACTCTCCACCTCTTTCGTACATCGAATCCTTTTGCTGACCTCTCCTCTTTGTCTGGAACAGCATCGGTATGCAACTCACCGATGCACTCGACGAGCTCATCCAGTCCGGTCACATCAACCCTGTGCTCGCCATGAGGGTGTTGAACGAGTTCGACAAGGCGATCGCCACCAATCTCAGCAAAAATGTCAAGGCGAAGAGCCAGTTGAAGGTGCGTAACCCCCTTCCGAGCTCTCACCACGGATGGAAAGGTTTTTGCTGACATTTCGTTGTTCTACTTTCTCTCTTCGCGCGCTGGCTTCTTGCACATGCTTTGTCGGATAGGGCCACCTCAAAGACTACCGGCTGTGCGAAGAGGTCTGGACCTTCCGCGTACGGAATGCCACGCTCAAGCTAGACAATGCGGATATTCTGGATGTGGACAAGGTCAAGATCGTCGCTTGCAAGATGGCGGATAGCACTTCCAAGTGATAGTCTGGGCCGAGTCGGTTCCCGGGTTTGGTTTGTTTTGTTTCAGCATCTGTTGTATTTGTATCCAATCGTCATTGTGTTTCTCCTGGATGCGACGGCGAGGTGCCTTGTGGAAGTGTAAGAGAAAGAAGTGAGTGGATAGCGGTGTGGGGAAGAAGTGTTGGAAGATTGCCAACGCTATCCGAGTCTCGGGAAGCGGGAAATCGCTGCTCTCCCGATATCTGACACTCGTTGCACCCGATCAGCGTATGTCCGTCGATCGCCTGCAACACCATTCAGAAGCCTCTTTGTGGTTGAGGGGGAACGAAGTTCTTGATGTCGTCACTCGCAGATGTCGCCTGTCGAGAAGGCTAGCCTTTTGGAGCCAGCATTGCTTTGGAATGTCGTCGACAGGCGCGTGGATTTTTTCCTCTCTGCAAGCGCGCTACAATCCCTTGCTTGCAAACCAGAGATGTCGTTCTCCTTTTACCCCTTTCACCTTTTGTCCAGCTAGCTCCCGTCTCCAACTGGAACGAGACGTCTATGACCCCCAGCCTAGACCTCATCTCGTCTCTCTCTCTCTCTCGCTTGTCATCATCGCCCGGGAATTCGGTCTTGTGTCGACCCCGGTAACGGACGTAAAGAGACGCTTTCGAAAGAATCTTCACGCACCTTACCCCCCGAGGAATGTGCCCTTCTTTTTTTAAACGCAAAACGCGCGTTTTTCCTTTCGGGAATGCACACCGCATACACACACTCTCTCTCCTTTTCGCTGTCGCCTGTCAACTATCGCTTGCCCTTTCCTCCCTCTTGCCACTATCTTGGGGCAACCTGGCCTTTCGATGCTCATCGACGATCCTCAAATACCCGCTGCAGCCAAAAGCAGTCTAGGTGTCATGCACATTCCACAATGCGCACCTGCCTTCGTATCTCCTGCCTCTCTTTTCCAAAGATCCGGACGACGTGGGTTCCCCCCCTGATCTCGAGAAAGTAACCCGCGGTGGCGTTGGTGTTGTTGTTGTGAACCCAGTGTTGTTCTCGATTACCTAGGCTCGCGTAAAAGGTTTTAGCCGAGACGTGATGAGGATCTGCATCTTGCAGCTAGCTGAACTCCTCCGGTCCTGTCGAGCTCAGCACGGCATCGTGGTGTGTCGTGGGTGGAGGACGGAGGGCAGCTGCGTGTGTAGAGGTGTGTTTGTGGCTGCTCGTGTGTCAGTCGGTGTGTTGGTCTACACCTTGGCAAGGTAGGTCGTGGTTCTTTCTCTACCATCATCTTTCCCCTCCGGTCTTGGCTCTCGTGGTGATACATCGCTATCCTTTCTTATCATTTTCAGCATCGACGACTAGCAGTAGCTCTATCAGCAAAGCCATTATCATCGCGTTGGAGATCCTCATCTGCACAGCTTCGACCATCGACATCGATCCAGCACGACCTATCCAAGACTTCCTCATGCAGTAGCAAAACAACCTATTCGTTATCCTCTTCATCACTTATATATTCCTATCCTACGCAGCTACATCGCAAAGATGCCACGAATCCCAGTCAGGGTAGAGCCCTACAACTCACCCTCGCGTCAACATCGACACTACAAGAACAAACGCGATCAGGTGCTCCGAGCGCTCGGCAAAGCCGCCTACATCAATGGATCTCACTTCGCCATCATGTGGGTCTCCGCTCGAGGAGACGTCGAGACTTACGCCAGCGAGGCGCTCCAAACCAGGCTCGATGATTGGTTCGTCAAAGGTGGGATTGCCGATGAGGCGAAGCAGCTGGTGAAGAGCTGCGGCGGGTCGACGAGGAGTGGAGCGAAGGTGTTTGAAGACTCGGATGAAGAGGTGGGTGGGGAAGAGGATGCGGAGAGAGGTGAGGATGAGGAGGACGTGTTTCTGGACGGTGCGATGAAGGGATCCGATCTGATCAAGAAGGGCAAACGTGGGCCGTTGGCTCCTTTGGATACGAATATTGCCAACCAGCATTTCCTACGCAGCAGGAGTTCGTTCAACGAACCACCCAAGTCCGCGCCTCTCTTCCCAACATCTTCCCTCTCGACCGCGTTCGACGATGCTCCGCGAACATCCACCCCGATCCTCTCCTCCTCCTCTCGGCTGATGTCCCGCAACTCGCTCTCCTCCTCTTCCTCCTCCTCCAACACCGCTTCCACCCCAACCCTCCCCTCCCTCGCCCCCACCTACGAGATCACCCTCTCCAACCACGCCTCCCGCACCGCCTTCCTCGAGCTCCGCTTCGGCCAGCTCCAACAGGGCGTCTGCAAAACCGTCGCCAAAGCATGGATCAAAATCATCGAACCCAAAAAACAAACCCGCTGCCCGTACAACAAGGGTGAAGCAGGCAAACCCGACTGGTGGCCCGCCGGCGTTCGTCACAAGGAGCCCGATCACCTCATGAAGCCCGAACGGCATCTGCTGCTCTTGACGATTCTCCGGAGTCCGAGGGTCAAGGTGGCGAGATTGCAGTTGGCGACGGCCGAGGTGGTGGCGCTGATCAAGGCGGACAAGGTGAGTTTGTTGATGGACGTGTATCGGATTGCGAGGGAGGAGGAGAAGTTGAGGGAGAGGGGCGTCGAGGGGGAGGAGGAGGAGGTGAGGGTCGGTGTGAGTACCTTGGATGGTTGGTGCAAGGAGGGCAGCGAGATGACCAGCCAGGGCAGACAGATCGCTCGAAGTGCTACCCCCGAAGCCACGTCTTCCTCATCAAGCACGTCGCAACCTGGTCCGGGAGAGAAACGCAAACGCAGCATTGCGGTAGGATCCACTTCCATGATCAAATCGCACTCCACCGGAGGTGCAGCCAACCTACAGCGCAAGCGACGCAGCATCGCGACCAGCAGTCTCAGTGCCGAAGTTCGACCCACCCCGCTCCCTACCCGCGCTGCACCCACCAACCCGATGTTTGGCGAAGTGTACGATCCCATGCAGCATCAACTCGTCGGTCTGGGGTTGGTTGCTCCTGGGATGCCCACGAACGGAGCGATGGGTATGCCGAGATCGCACTCCTTCTCCGCCGCCCCCGCGGCGAGCAACGCTGCGAACGCAAGCGGTTTCCCGCAGCGACACCTCGAATCCGCCTCCGCCGACACCTCGCCCTGGCCCCCCGCTTACGCCTTCCCCTCCGCCTCCTCGTCGACCGAAATGAACGGCCTCGCTACGCCTCTCACCTCCTCCTCCACCGTCGACCCCTCCTTCCCGCACCACCAAAACCACCTCTTCTACCCGCCGCCCACCAACTTTTCCGCCTACCCTCCCCCTCCCCCTCCCCACCACAACCCCACCGACCTC